GAGGACGGGCGAGTGGGTGTCAACATGGCAAATGGGGTTCAATGTGGCCAAGTGCAAAGTGATGCACATTGAGGCAAAAACTCCTAACTATAAATACACATTTATGAGGTTCAAACTGGCAGAGACTGACCAAGAGAGAGATCTTGGAGTCATAGTAGATAACTCACTGAAAATGTCAAGACAGTGTGTGACTGCAATAAAAAAGCCAACACTATGCTGGGGATTATTAGGGAGGGAACTGAAAACAAATCAGCCAGTATCATAATGCCCCTGTATAAATCAATGGTGCAACCTCATTTGGAATACTGTGTACAGTTCTGGTCACCACACCTCAAAAAGGATATTATAGCATTGGAAAAAGTGCAGAAAAGGGCAACTAGAATGTTAAAAGGGTTGGAACACTTTCCCTATGAAGAAAGGTTAAAACGCTTGGGGCTCTTTAGCTTGGAGAAACAACAGCTATGGGCTGACATGATCGAGGTTTACAAGATTATGCATGGGATAGAGCAGGTAGAGAAAGAAGTACTTTTCCCCCTTTCTCACAATACAAGAACTCGTGGGCACTCAATGAAATTGCTGAGCAGTTGGGTTAGAATGGATAAAAGGAAGTACTTCTTCACCCAAAGAGTGATTAACACATAGAATTCACTGCCACAGGAGGTAGCAGCAGCTACCAGTATGGATGGCTTCAAGAGGGAATTGGATAAACATATGGAGCAAAGGTCCATCAGTGGATATTGGCCAGAAGGTATAGATAGGGACTCTCAGTCTGGGGCAAGTGATGCACTGTATTCTTGGTACTTGGGGTGGGAGGGACAACAGCGGGAGGTCTTCTAGTGTCCTGGCCCCACTGTGTGACAGAATGTTGGACTGGATGGGCCATTGGCCTGATCCAACATTGGCTTCTCTTATGTTCTTATGCAAGTTTGGTGTCTGTGAATTCTTGGGAAGAGTTTCATAACCGACTAGGCATGAATGTGAATTAGTGCAAAAATGTGTTAATATTCTAATTTGCATATATTTTCTTCAAATACACACAATTTGCTTTTTATTTTGCAGGTCTACCAAGATGTTATGGAGATGCTAAATATATAGTAATGAAGCAGATCATTGAAACAATTTATATATTTATAAGAAGACTGCAAATGTTCTAGGTACAAGATACTCTATATAATATCTTTGCATATTTATATCAGCTTTATATCTATTTTGCTTAATAAAAAGTACATGGATGATATAAGTGCAAAAATATATGTCTACATGTCTGAGAATCAGTTTGATCATCTAAGTAGAGACACATGTAGTACAATTTTAAAACAGAATTGAAATAAAATCATTTTCCAGAAACCAAGTATTCATTTATTTTTCTGTTCCAAAGAACAAGAGAATAAATCATATGAAAATGCAGACTGTATGCAGATGTAGAATTAATATCCGTACACAAAGGACACAACCCGAGGATCATAACATGAAGACCCTTTCTGTCCCATTGACTCCAATATAAAAGTTAAACTGATGCTTAAACTTATGCTGTTGAAATTAATAGGGTTTAAATATGCCTGTTGGATGAATTGTGCCCAGTATATTTTATATATGCTTTAACAGTTGAAGAATCATTATGAAACTATGCGAAACAAGAGAGAAACTCACAAGATTTTGTTGTTAAAATATAAAAGAAAAACAATCTTCATTCATAAATATAATACAATCAAATTAATTGCCTGTCTTCTGAAAGAGCAGTTGTAATTTTCAGTGATCTCCAGCCCTCACCTGGGGATTGGCAACAATTGTTACTCAGGAGGAAATGGTTGGTGTGGAGGGTGGAATCCAGTTTTCCCTCCAAGCAGAGTTAGTGTGAGCTAGCTCACAGTTTTTTAGCCTCCGGCTCACAGATTTTTCTCTTAGCTCAGGATGGCTCCAGAGCAAACTAATTTATGCAGGAGCCGAATCGCTCGCTCACAACTTTAATGCCAGTAGCTCACAAAGTAGAATTTTTGCTCACAAGACTCCATAGCTTAGAGGGAACATTGGTGGAGTCTATGGCATTGTACCTTTCTGTGGTCCCACCCCTCCTCAAACCTCATCCTCTCCAGGTTCCATCCCTGAAATCTCCAAGAATTTTCCACCTGGAGTTGGCAACCCAATCTCCTTCCCAGCCAATCATCAACCTACCTTTATTTCTTCTTCTCTCTTCAGCTTTCCATTCCCTCCCACACACACACCTGCAGCCTCTCCCATGCTCTGAAGCCCTGACTGCCAGAGTCCACCATTTTCCATGCTCTGAAGCCTTGACTGCCACAGAGTCCACCATTTTCTCCAGAGGAACTGATCTCTGCCATCTGGAGAGCAGTTTTAATTCTGAGTGATCTTTAGCCCTCACCTAGAGATTGGCAACAATGGTTCCATAGGAGGAAAAGTAGTCTTTCTCTGCAATGGGGACCAAAGCTGCTTACAGTATTCTCCTCTCCTGCTTTTGACTTGCACAACAACCCTGTGAGGTAGTTTAGGCTGAAAGTCTGTGACCAGTCCAAAATCACCCACTCAGCTTCTACAGCAAGAACTTTGATCTAGCAGACCCTGGGCAGCCAACCTCCAGGTGGAGCCTGAGGATCACCAGGTATCACAACTGAACTCCAGACAACAGATCCCCCCCTGGAGAAAATAACTGTTCTAGAAGGTGGACTATATGGCATTCTGTTCAGCTGAGGCCTCTCCCCTCCCCATAGACTCTTCCAGAAAATCTCCAGGAATCTCCCTGCCTGGATCTGGCAACCCTAGACTCAGTACTGGCCCCAATGAATTCCTCACAAAGGCCTGCAAAGGGTTTCCTTCCTTTGTCTGAACCGAGCTTGGTTGCCCACTATGGCGAAACAGGCTCCAGTTTACCACTCAGCTGTTTGCCTCCCACCCTCGTCCCGTGCGTGTATCTCACTCCTTAAATTCGCTGCCACAACTCACTGAATCGTCACTGCCTTTTTAGAGGGACGGTGGGACCCCTCTGGCCGAATCTCCCTATTTGGAGATGGAATCCCCAATCTTTGGGGGATCCCTGGAAAGTTGGGAACCCAAGGGTCTGGCCTTCCCCCCTCCCTTTGTTATTGTGCAGAGCGGGGGAGACTATGTGGTCAGAGCACAACACAGATTATTAGGAGTGTATGAACCAACTGTATGAACCAACACAGCATAAACCCACAGGGGTTAAACGCCATCCTTTCCCCCTACACACCGGCCTCTGGCTGTCTGCTCTGGCTGTCTGCCCTGGAGATTGGAAACAATGGTTCCCCAGGAGGAAATGGCTGGTTTGGAGGGTGGAGTCTACGGCACAGGCAGCTGGAGCCTTTCCTAACCTCCTGTAGGAAAAACACGGCCTCCTCCCTGGATGGGCTGCAGTCTGTATTGATGCCGCCCTGTGCGTTGGGACAGTCCCTGTTTTCACGCCCTTTTCTGCCTTGGGGCAGCTGGGAACTGTAGCCCAGCAGATGAGGAAGTCCCCATTCAACCCAGTGAGTGATACGTCTCTGAAACTACAGCTCAATTAAACCTTATGGCGGAACATTTTAAACAAACAACCACATACAGCAGCACATCAGCCATCTTACAAACACAGGTAACTGCCATTTTGTTACACCCACCAACAGTCACTGAGGGAAAAGTTAAGTCCCACACAGGAGGCAAGCAGGAGAAGCACCTTCGTCAAAGAGACAAAGCCATTTGCCAGGAATTCTGACAGGGCAGAGTGGCTGAAAAGGGAGCGGGCGGGGAAAAAGAGCAGGGGAGCAGACCTAGCACCCGGCCAATGGCACATGACTAGTCCTGAGTGGCAGCTGACAGGCCAATGGCTGAGGGAGTGCATGGAATCCTGCCACCCCATAGGAGGGAAGCCACCCCAACTCAGCCCGGCGGCATCCCCCCCTCCTCAAGCAGGGCCCATCGTCTCAGAGGACAGTGAATCCTGGTCACCCGCTTTCTCCCCCCTCAGCAGCATCCAGCCACCGCAGCGTCCTTCCCATCCAGTGGCTTCCTGGATACTGAGAGTGAGCGGCTGGCCTGTGGCTGTGTGGGCGGGACTGAGCCAAGCAGCCAGGCAAGTTAGCCAATGGCCAGGGACCCGTTTGTGAGTGGCAGTTCAGCCAGCCAACTGATTTTGGCGTGAATGGAATCTCACCACCCCATAGGACAGAAGCCACCCCAAAACGGCTTTATAATATAGAGAGATGGTAAGATTCTACACCACCTTTGAAAAGGTGGTCCTGAGGATTGGGAGACATGTTGAAAAGTCATGTGACATGGTGTGACGGATTGTTCTTTTAAAAGTTTAGAAGTGTTGTATAAACAGATAAAGGACTGTGAAGGGTTAATTCTTCACAGAGCCAGAGAACCTTGAGTTACAGGCTGCTCCAAGGAATCTGATTTGTTAAGATCAGTTGAGCAGAGAAAGACTTCTGAACTAGATGCTGAGGAGGATTCGGTCTAAATTCAGCCCTGACTTAGAGCAGTTTAATACAGATGGAGAACTGGGGGAAGCTGGCAAGAGAAGTGAGAAGTTAAGTGAAGACTCCCATTCAGGCCAAACAAAGGAGATAGATCTTCTAGTGAGAGAAAAAATTTTCTTACCCAGTCAAAACAGGGAGATAGTTCTGAAGAGTGTCTGGTGTAGTTACAAACTGCCTTGTGAAACCTTAAGAGTCAGATAAAACTCAAGAAGAGTACTCCAGTGCTCTGACCTTGATAGCCCAGGCAAGCCCAATCTAATCAGATTTCAGAAGCTAAGCAGGGTCGACTCTGGCAAGTACTTGGATGGGAGACCTCACTGAAATACCAGAGGTGGGAAGCGGGGGCAGGCTCTTCTCTGAATATCCTCCAAGTCCTCAGATGATTTAGGGGCTAGAGATTAGTGGCAATCATTAGGACATTTACTGGTTAGATGACTTAGGGGTTAGAGATTAGTGGCATCTATTAGGAAATTGGGTTAGGGGCTAGATGGGTTGAGTTAAAGGGAAGTGTCAGCAGCATTGAGTATTGTTAGAACAGATTAGAGTTTAGGATCGTTTGCACTGAAGAACTGCTTAATTACTATCATTTTGTACATTCAGCTGGGAATCAGCATACCAATAGTCTGAGACTAACCAGTGAAGACCATTTGCAGCTGATGGCTGGCCAAGGGATACCAGTGTTCCTGGGGAGGGGAAAGGATTGTGGTGGGACCATGAAAAAATTGAAAGGAAGGGAGCAGAGACGTAGAAAAGCTCGGTCCCCTTCCAGCCTGCATCCCATCCCAAAGGTAGTAGGTAGTACGGCTAGGATTATTGACCCCTCTCTGACATTGGTGCTGTGTAATGCCAGGTCCATAAACAATAAAACCATGATCACAAAATCCCATGCTGGAATAACAATAAGACCATGACCAGGTTTGATTCCCCACTCCTCCACATGAAATCTGCTGGGTGACCTTGGACCAGTCACAGTTCCCTCAGAACTCTCTCAGCCCCACCTACCCCACAAGGTGCCTATTGGGGGAGACAAAGGGAAGGAGATTGTAAACTACTCTGAGATTCCTTAAGGTAAAGAAAAGTGGGGTATAAAAACCAACTCCTCTTCTCAGTCACAGTCTCAACTGACTTTTACTGGACTGGTTCCATAATCACTTGCTCTTTAAGTAGTCTGCTGTCAGTTTATGAACAGCCATAGTTTGATAGAACTGGATGAATCTCATATCTTTTTTTTTTAGTTTTACATCTGAAAAGTCAACCATAGTTCAGAATTATTTCAGTGTCTTGCTTCAGGTCTAGATCTAATTGCTGAAGGCTGAAATGCAGCATAGGATTTGTCATAAAATATCCTAGCCAAACTATCTCACCTGAATTAAACTAATACTGACAGCAATCAGTAATTTAATTAGCTTAAGAACATGATGGTAAAAGTAGGTTACACAATACCATTCTTCAAGAGATTTCTGTTTACCTTGGAGCAGTAATGGAGCCAACTTTCAAGTGAAACAACATCTTGGACCTAAATATGATACCATAAGAAATCAGAATGAAACCAAATATGAACATTTTAAAAGAAAATATTATGTAAATATAGTGCAGATATCCATCAGCATCCATCACTAGTTTGTCCGAAATACCTGTAAAATTATTTTTGGATTTTTATCAGGTGGGAATACAGAGATTTGCATGGTAGAACCTAACTTCAGTGTCCAAAAGGTAAGGTTGGATAGACCTCTTTTTTCACTAGGATCAGTGCTGTCTGGTCTTGCCCATTCTGTTCTACAAATAATTGTCCTTTTGGTGGATGACTTCCCCTTCTAAATAATTCCAGAAGGGTAGCCATATTAAGTCTACTGT